AGTGAATAAATATACATGGCCTGTGGTTAAAAGTATATTAACACCAACATATAATGTCTGAGGATGACTGAACCAGAGTGCAAAATGTTCATGTAGATGGGAGTATAAAATATGTATACTAGGATATAATTTGTAAATTGTACAACTAGATTTAAATTTTTAACTTAAGTTTTCAAAGGTCATTTTATTCTTAGATGAAGAACATGTTCAGTGTGTTAATTTTCTTGGTACTTATTATGAATATGATCAGTGGGGGAATTTGATAAGGATTTCTTCCAGATGTGCTGCCAAGTGATTTGGTTAATCTAGTGATACTCTCTCTGTATTATGGTTGGTGTATAGTGTTTTTTAAGACTTTAATAGCTGTTTCAATTCTTCCCCACATTTTTTTTTCATTCAAGTTAGCTATATAAGAAAGTTACACAATTGATAGGGAATAATTCACCTTTGAAAATTGTGTCCATACAAAGAACTTTGCTTGAGATACTTAACACAGGTGTGCTTGCTCATCTGTCTGCATATTGATGTAACAGTGTCATTGTGAATGGTTTTATGGTATATTGTATCTTCAACAGATTATTATATTCTGTGTTAATTGCTTTAGTAAACACTATCAAATTTTGATTAGATAAAATATTAGACCAATTTTTGCATGGTATTTTTCAACACTTAAAGAGTTTTACAAATGTCCTAAAGTTAGTTGGCTAAATAAACTTGTGAAATGTTGAGCTCATGTGTTTGAGATATTGCTATCATTGTTATAAATAATAAAACTTCAGTCCCCAGTACCACAAAACCAAAAACAACAATAAAAAAACCATAATTATTTTTTTAGGATATGTTGTTGATTTCATATACCAAGTATTTTTATTAGTTCAACCTTTTGTTAGTGTAAATTTCACTATCTTTTATACTTGAAAACACTTGCTGTTATGCAGATTCATGGTTTTTACATTTGAGTACTGTATAGACATTTCCCATGGATCTCCCTTAATACTGTTTCAGTGTATGAAAAAATAATTTAGTGCCAGGATAATGCTTGTCAAAATACCAATTTATTCTTAGTTATGAAGTCAATACAATTCTATCATCAGTTTAATGAATGATGGATGCTGCCGTTACAAAGCTTGCAAGTTATTGTGATGTCTCTAATACATGTAAAGGTCTACACAGTGCTTGGCATGTAATAGCTAGCTATGAAGGCAATTGTTATTAAATATATTTCATTGACTCTTAGATATACATTTTTTTACTTAATGATGCCTCTTGTAAATAAAATTTGAAGTGTTTTTAAAGTGTCAAACTAGTGCTGCATTTTAAAGTAGACAATAGATAACACCTTAGATTGATTGCAAGTTATTGAATGTGTAAAAAGCCTCTTCTGTAGTTATAGTCAATAATTACATCTTATTTTTTTGCATTCATTTCTTTTAATATTTTCTTAGGAGTTGGCTATAACAGCAGTTATAGCTCACATTCCTTATTGACAAAATGCAAACCCAGTAAACCTATTTTTTCTCAATGTATTTAAAATGTTATGATTAAGTATAATTATAATCCAGTTTTGTACTATAAAAATAGTAATTGAATCAAATATCTTATTTGCTGAGTACTCAGCACACAAAGACCTTTGATTAGACAGAAGAATTGACCTATAAGGAAGAGTGGGTGATTAAAACTGCCTGATGTAAGCCTTCTAAACAGTGCCTTAAAAATTGGTTGGCTTGCTAGGTATACTAAGAAATTGGTAATGAAGTCAAAATGTCACTAAGAAAAAATTGACATAAAAATGTGGAAGAAATTGGTACCAAAGGCCCATGTTAGACAGAGAGAACATTGTGTCAGAAAAGAATTAAGAGGGCCCAGGATGGCATGTAACTATTACTTGTCTCCTATGGTAATGCCCCAAGTGAGCTTGAAATGACAAGAGTAGAAAACAGTCTACTAAGCCCTTAATGCTTAGTTACCTAAGGATTAGAAGCAAATCTTTTTATGGAAATGTCAAGATGATATTGACTCACATTTAATTCTGTAGCAGTATTTTTTTTTTTGTTTCATTTGTTTAATTTTGGCAAAAGACATTTCCTATAGTTTTAAGTAAATGCTTATGTACATATACACAGGTATTTATATACATTCAAACATATACTTAAGTCTGCCCTCCCCTCCTGGTCTCTGCTTCTAATAACTACTGTTCCTAGGTGTGGGGTGTGTGTGTGTGTTTATGCATATGTAAGAAAATTCTTGTAGATTTTACCTGTCCTTTTTTGTTACTAAACAGAGTGTAACATGTTATACATTTAGTATTGCGCTTGTTTTTTTACCCACTTAATATTTTAGAGATCTTTCCATATCAATTCATAGGAAGCCTTTATCATGTGTTAATTGCCATATGAGGTGTTTTGTTTGTTTTTCGTCTACTTTCTGTTCTGGTTTTGCTTTGAGTTGCTTTGTGAATCCTTTTTTTTTTTTTTTTTTTTGTAAAATTTTCATACGATTAAGTGCTCAAACCACGTGTTTAAATTGTATTTGACAAATGTGTATGACAATGTATCCTCAAGAGCATTTCAATTACTCAAGAAAGTTCCTACTCTTTCCCAATCATTTTGTAGGCAACCACTGTTTAAATGTTTTTCATTTCAGTGTGTTTTGCCCCTTGTAGAATTTCCTGTAAATGGAATCATTCAGTATTTAGTCTTTAATGTTAGTTTCTTTTGATCAACAGGCTTATTTCTGAGACTGATCGAAATCAGTAAATTTTTTTCAAGATTATTTTGTTATTCATGGATTGCCTTTTAAATTTTTGGTTGCTTTCCAAATTACAATATGCATCCTTTGCTTTGTAACAGTATAGCTGCTTTAATATCTTCTTTTGCTTGTGCTGTTCTTTATAAATAATATCCACATACTTTTTGAGTTACAATTTTTGGTGTAATCTATTATATCTTATAGAAATTAATAGGAAAGAATGTCACCTTTTACATTTATTTATATATTTAACACTTTCTAATTCTCTTAATTTTTCCCATGATTTTGAGTTTCCATCCAATGTTATTTCTCTTTATTCTGAAGAACTTTCTTTAGCATTGCTTTTGTGCCAGGTCTGCTAGTGACAAGTTCTCACAGTTTTTGTTCATATGAACATGTTTTTATTTTGATCACTTTTTACTTGGTTATAGACTTGTAGGTTGATAGGTTTTTCTTCACTTTTCAGTTCTGTAAACATGTTTCCTTGTCTTCTGACTTTCATTGTTTGTGATGAAAAATTTTTGGCTTTTGTGCCACTGCATATAATGGATTTTTCTGCCCCTGGCTGCTGCCAAACATAAAGCTGATACGATTTAAAAGCAGTAAGAAGAGATTTTATTCAGTAACTACTATAGTAGTGGAAGGGTTGCATTCAACTCTGATTTACATAGCAGTGACTGGACATTAAAGGGAAGATGAAAGAACAGGGAAGGAGTGTGAGCAGGGGCTCAGGCAAAGTTCAGGAAGTGAAAAATTACAAAAACCAGTAGAAGAGCTGTTCAGTGTTTGCAATTAGGCTCATCTGTCTGTATGTTAACTGACTTTTATTGAAGTTAGGGTTCTTCCTTCCCTTAGCTTGGGAGCAGGGGAAATACTGATAATTAAATTTCCAAAGGATGGCTTTTAGGGATTTGAGAAAACGTCTCCTGATTTGTAGGAGATAAATATATCTCTGGATTAGCCACGAAGTATTTATAATAGAAGTACTGTAAGAAAGAAAGAGGGAAGAGTTGAGTGGAACAAGGGGTAAGTTCTCTTGGCAGCCTTGAGCTTTTATTGATAAGAACTCAAAGGGGGTTCAGATTATCCCTGACTTGGGCTGCTAGGAACAATTCTAGAATTTCGAGGGGTTTGTTTTTGCACTTGTTGCTGTTTCAAAATTTTTCTTTCCTTTGTCTTTAGCAATATGATATACCTAAGAATGATTTTCATCTTACTTGACCTCCACTGAGTTTCTTGAATGAATAAATTTAGTTGTTCACTAACCTGAAAATGTTTTAAGAGTTGAGAATGTTTTAGCCATTTTTATTACAAATATTTTTTTCTGACCTGTTCTTTTTCTGAGACTGCACATGTTACTGAGATTATTCATTTTGTTAATCTAATTTCAGGTCTTCTGATTAGGTATTCTCCAAATTGGCTGACTTGTTTGTCTTCTCCAACCATCAGGTTAAACTTTTATTTGTGAGTTTGTAATTTCCAGTTCTAGTATATCTGTTTGATTCATTTTCGCAGTTTCCATTACTCAGCTGAGATTCCTAATCTGTTCATTAAATTCGTTTCATAATAGCTACTTTAAAATTCTTACCTGCTAGTTTATCTTGGAGTCTGTTTCTATTGACTTTTTGTTCTGACAAGGGATAATATTTTCCAGTTTCTTCATGTTTAGTTACATTGTAGTGACTGAATTTTGTTATGTGCCTCTAAAGAGAAGTGATTTTTGTTCTAGCAGGTGGTTTTGAGTAGCTTCAAATTCCATACTTTCCTTCTGATGTGGGAAAACAGCTGGTGTCTGGGTTCTTTAATTTGTTTTTGTTTTTGCTTTTTGACAGCACTGAGGTTTGAATTCAGGGCCTGACACTTGCTAGGCAAAAACTCTACCACTTGAGCTACCCCATCAGCCCTTCCCCCCCCTCCTCGCCCCCCCAGACCAGGCCTCCTTGTGAACTCTTTGCCTGGGGCTGACTTTGAACCATGATCCTCCTGATCTCTGCATCCTGAGTAGCTACAATTACAGGTGGAGCCACCAGCACACAGTGGGTGGGATCTCAGTTTTTATAGCCTTCCAAGTACTGGTTTCGCCACAGTCCCACAGCCTGTCCATATGTGTCATTGAGGGCACAGTGATGTATTTGGGCAGGGTTCATAGTCCTATTTTCATGATTTTTCCCTTCCTGTGGCTCTCTTATTTCCAGTTAAAAAGTGCAGTTCTCTGCTTGCATTGCAGTTGACCAGCCTCTAGCTCGGCCTAGGGAGTGACCTCCGGCAGAAAGCTGTGGAATTGCAGCTCATCCAGTGTGCCTTTCCTCTTCCACAGGTTGCAATGCTTTCAGTTTTTATCTTTCTGTGCTGTTTTCAGGTAGTTCATTATTACATTTGGTTCAGAGTTTATTACCTGCTGTACATTACTGTCCTCTTTTGTTTATGTATGCTTCCACTACTTTCAGCTTTTTCTGTTATTGACAATTTATAATGTGTTTTAGGATCTGGTAGGGCCAGTCTCTACTCTTCTTTCTCAGAGTTTTCCTGGGCATATGTATTTATTTTGGTATGTTGGGGTAATCTTGTCTGGATCATATAAGTTTATTTTTATTGAGATTGCATCAAATACATAAATTTGGTAGAATTGATTGTTCTTGAATATAGTGATAATTGGCTTTTTGTCTATGGACATGTTTTTCTCAATAATGTACTTTTGCATTTAGTTATGTTTAAAATGTTTCTTTGTACAATTTTGACACATTTATAAAATTACACTATTTCTAGTTTTGTATATTTTGTTATTAATTGGATTCATGCAAAAATATGTTTTATATAAACAAGCAGATTTTACTAGCCAGAAGTAAATTTAATCTTTTAAAATAAATTTTCCAGTCTTTATGAGGGAGGTATTACAATAAGTGATAGAACTAAGGCTTAAATATATCTTGTGATGGTAGTCAGAAAGTGGCTGCGTTAAGAGCTGGGGTCTGGGTCTGTCTGCATCTAGATTGATTGCATGTTCTTAACAACTGCTGGTTTTTCTTTGATTCATTACAAACCTTAAATAGAGCACAACTTAAGCTCCTCATACTCTATTTTAGATTGTGGTTCTCATGTTAGTCCTAGAGTAACTTGAGTGAAATGTTCCTTCTGGTGTCATTAGAACAAAATAACCTCAGATCTACACTGTGTTTAATCATTTTCCCAGAATTTTTTTTTCAAAGACAGAAGAATTACCTGTATACTATGCCTTACTTAATGAATAATTAGTACATCGTGCTATATGTTTCTAGTAGGTATTTGATTAATATTTTTTAAATGAAGGAACCACTTAATGTAATGGTTTTAAAATCAGTACATCTGTGGGGTATAAAGGAAAAGTTTAAATTGTCCTCTTATTTTTTGTCTTTTTTTTGACTTTTGTAGTTTGTGTCATTTGTACCCTAAAAAAGCAAAAGAATCTAAAATTTCCCAAGGCAGTGCAGGAAAATTTTTGAACATGTCTCCCTTCCTCCGCCCCTGCCGATTGCAGTTACTTTAGTCCATAAACAGGGCATGACATTTTCCTGCACCCAGGTGGCTCTGCAAGGGGACTTATAGCCCAGCATGCCATGGGATTGGGTTACTTAGCCTCAGAAGTCAGCACTTTCACCAGTGCCCTTGAAATATTGATCCAGTTAACTTACTAGCAATGTATAAATATGGAATTTAATCACTTGATTATTTTCAAAAGTTGTTTTGAAATGTCCTTCTTCCTCTTTGAAATTTTGGTGACTTTGTAGTATGTAAAGAATAGAATCGAGTTTCAAATATTACTACCTCTGATTAATTTTTAAAATACAGTTTTGGACCTGAGTGATATGGCAGTCACACATTCCATTCCAAAAGTTCCTTTAAACTCTTCTTCCCACAGACCAGAAGTTCCTTTGAAATGAAGTATTGGTGGGGAAAATAGGGAGAATTATCTCTGGGCTGCCTATGTTCTAAAAGAAATGTGGAAGAAAAAATTTAAGCTTCACACTATTAGAATGACAGAACTCTACTTCTGTGTATTTTATAGTGAGAAGAGAGCAGTAAAACTGAATGTGTATGTATCACAATCAAATAACCTGAAAATCTTAACAGTGGATATGTTTGTTTTAATTGAAGCTAGTTATATTTAAAATACCAATTGACATGTCGTTTTAGATAAAATTTTTTGTTTTTTGCTCTTAGCTGAGTGATAAAATGAAGCACTGGTAGTAAGGCTGATGACAAAGGTATTAGCTCTTGTTTTGAATAGTATAAATTGGAAAGGAAATTACAGGTATGATCTCATTAAGCTAGAGAGGATTGGTGTTCACATTTTAAAAACATAATCATAACTTATCTGGAGTCACATGTTCCATTTTATTGGCTTCCTTCATATAGAAAATATAGTAACCAGCACTAAATGCCTTTGAAAAAGTGAAGCAGTGTATATTTTCTGGGTGAAGGAAGTATTCTGTACATTCTCCATGTTTTACATCATGGTATTTTGAATAACCATGCTTCCATGTTCACATCAATTTTTTGTTTTTCAATTTATGCACAGCACTTGCTCTGAAATTTGGGGACTGAGTACACCAAATACGATAGATCAGTGGGATACAACAGGCCTTTACAGCTTCTCTGAACAAACCAGGTGAATATTCTGCCCTCTGTTGAATCCTAGAGATCTTGTGGGAGGGGGGTTTTGGAAGACCTCTACTGGGTTTCATAGTATAATTTGCCTAGGATGTTTCCTTAATGTAAAATAAGGCATAGCATTTAAGATAACTGCTTGCCAATATTAAAAATATATTAAATGTTTCAACTGATGTTTTGGTCAATGCAATTTTAGTTTTTAATCTTTAAATTATTATATCCCCTAAGAACTTTGATAACTATACTCATTATAGCTCAAGATTAGATTTATTGTTGGCCTATTTTTTAAGTAGATACATGACCAGTTTTTGCTAAATTTGTTATCATCAAAAAATCTCATTTTTATACTAATACATATGTACTGAATATATATATTATATATATCACAGTTATCAGGCTAACTTGTTTTTCTGTTAATCTTTTTTTTTTTTGAAACCACCTCATTTCTCTTTAAGTATATTGGTATTTATCCATTTCACCTCATCATATTCATCACCATCTACATCTGTGTGAGCTATTTAAACATACTTTAGTCACAGTCACAACTGAGTGATGAGTTACATTAGTCTGAGCAAGTTACTGTCACATCATTATTGATACTTATCCTTCACACTTCCTTTTTTGACTATTCAGTTATCTACAGAATTAATGCCCTTTGAAAGAGTTTTGCTTGTTAAAAATGTTAACAAAGATTTTTTCAAATGTAATCGTATGAAATTCTTTTTAAAAGATGAATTTTCCCCAACCGGTTAGCCTTTTATTGGCACGTGAGTCATTTATGTGGCATACTGATAGGAAGCATCTGCTAGTGTGCTGCTCACTGTATCAGCTCTGTTAAAGAGTGCACCTTTCTTCCTGCTTCTCACTCAAACTTTCTTTGTGATCTCAGTTTATTAATTTAGCCTTTTTGACTACATGTACTTTCTTTTTTTTTTCTTTTTAAAGTCCCCTTTCTTTTCTCCTTGCTTCCCAACAGGTCTCTAGATGGCCGCCTTCAGGTTTCACATCGAAAAGGGTTGCCACATGTTATATATTGCCGATTATGGCGCTGGCCTGATCTTCACAGTCATCATGAGCTCAAGGCAATTGAAAACTGCGAATATGCTTTTAATCTGAAAAAGGATGAAGTTTGTGTAAACCCTTACCACTACCAGAGAGTTGAAACACCAGGTAGGAAAACTGTAGGGGGTTTCCTGATTTTAAATTAAATGCTTGAACTTAAGTGTACTTAGGTACTCTTGTGATCCAGGGAAATTTTAGTGTAAAATTCTAATAAACTGTCTTAAATTGAGCATATAGTAGCTAAAAATGCTCTCTTGCTTTTTAAATTTTTTTTGGAAAAACATATCTTGGGGGATGGGAGGATGTTCAGTTCTTGGGATCCATCACTGTTGGATTGAATGTCAGCGTATGTGTCCAGGAATTCCATAGGCTGCTGCTGTTACAGTGAAACTGACAGAGCTCTTCCACCACCTCTCTGCTGCAGTGCTTATTTTCAAGCTTATTTTTGCTGTTTGAATGCTTTCAGAAGTACTTTAATGACAACATTTGTATATAAGTTTAGTGAAGCTCAAAGTAAGATTTTTCATTTAGTGTGTGCTTGAAACTAAAAAGAATAAAGAAAGAAAGAAAGAAAGAAAGAAAGAAAGCTATTCTTTTTAGAAATTCCCTAAATCTGATATCACAAATCTAGGCAAATCTTGCCTCAACTCTTCCATTGGAATTTTATGAACTCTTAAACTGTAATTAGTACAGTGGATTATATAAGTTAAAGCCATCGTCAGATTTGTCAATTTTTCAATAACTAGTTTAATACTAAATGAGTGGAACCTAACTTTAAAAAATTAAACTCTTGCCTTCTCTTTCCTTTTGAAAACTTTCAATAAACTCCCTCCATGGCTTTGCTCCTTGCCATTAACTGGTTCCTTTAACTCTTGCAGTTTTGCCTCCGGTATTAGTGCCCCGGCACACTGAGATTCTAACAGAACTACCGCCTCTGGATGATTATACGCACTCCATTCCAGAAAACACTAATTTCCCAGCGGGAATTGAGCCACAGAGTAATTACATCCCAGGTATTTTTGTCTTCTGAGCATCTAAAACTTAATGTAGATAAAAATATTGTCATAACCATTGAGTATTAGTAAATTATGGTTTCACTTTTTCAGAACTCTTCTCAATTTTAGAAAGAAAAGTCTGATTTATTGGGTGATTTCTTTTGTGGAATGTTTAAGCCTTTAGCATATTAAACAGTTTTGTATGGAGAATAGTTGTACTTTGTATTCATTTTCTTTTGCAGTAACTTTACTCAAAGTACTGTGAGAAGCAGAAAAGAAAAGATCTTAGTAAATTTGTCTTAGTTGTTGAAGCTGATGCAGAATGTAAGCAAATAAATGGCTCAGGAAAAAAGTATTCCTGAAGCAAGTGTAACTAAGAATTCACCAGATAATCACCATTAGATAATTTGATGCTTAAGATAGATGTACCATTTCTATAGGAGATAAAATGTTTCAGTTCTCTAGATGAAGCAATGCATGTGTTACATTGAAAAATCAGAAAACCTCTTATTTTTATTAGGTTTCTTGTGGCCCTTAAAGTACTGATGAAAAAGTAAATGAATTCTATTACATGGTTCTCAGCTTCCTCTCTAACTCATGTTTTTTTGTGACCTTGTAATATTAATATTTCACAATACAATACCTGTCCTTTTAGTTTTTACTATATTTTAGGAGAGCAAGTAATATTATTGTTTTTTTGTTGGTTTGTTTGTTTTGTTTTGGTTTTTTATGTCTCTTTGCTTGTTTTTTCCCTAGCAGAAACTGAAGGGATGATACTAGAATGAAGATTAAGCTTCATGCTGGGTTTTTAGTGTGTCAAATTTTTTTTTCTCCTTTTCGAATATTTCTCTATCCCATCCTTATTTTTATTTTATAAAGCTAGAAATAAGAAGCTGTATGCCAGTAGCTCATGCCTGTAATCCTAGCTACTTGGGAGGCTGAGATTGGGAGGATTGAGGTTTGAGGTAAATAGTTCCCAAGACCCCCATTTCCAAAATAATCAGAGCAAAATGGACTGGAAGTATGGCTCAGGAAGGGAGTAGAGCACTTGCCTTTGCAAGCATGAAACCCTGAGTTCAAAATTCAAGCCCTAGTCCAACAAAAAAAAAAAAAACCTAAAAATATGTAAGGAATCTGAGTTCCAAGCTTTTTAAAAAATAATTCTTAAGTGTGTTGTATCATGGAAACAATGCTCATTCATCAAAGGCTGTTTTTAAAATACAAGAAAAATACAGCTATTTTTTAGTAGCTAGTTTTACAGACAGGAAGTATTTTTGATTGTTTTAATTTCTTTGATTACTATTTTATTCCAAAAGAGGATTTAAGACTGCTTTTTAGGTTTCTGGTAAATAGAAGTATGGTGAGAAGTTAGGAGGAGAGAAGAGAGGGTGGGGTATAATACAGTGTAGAATGAGGGAATAACAACTATACAATGGACATTTCCTAAGTAGAAGAATTCAGTCTGTGTGTGTGTGTGTGTGTGTGTGTGTGTGTGTGTGTGTGAGAAGGGGGGCATTTTAAGTCTTTGTGGCAATAACTGTTACTCAATGCTAGCAAACTAAGGTATAAAAGCACACAGTCTTGTGAGATGCATACTTAATAATTATAGGGACGTTAATCAAAATGTTTAGTGGCGATGCAAAGATGTTTGGGTTAGGGTTTTTTGTTTTTTATCCTTTATGTTTATGTTTATACTTATGTTAGTATTTTATTGAATTTTTAGAAAATCGGAAGCCAGTTATACTAATTGACTTTTCTGGACAGTAAGTGTTTATGTAGCTCCAAGTGACAGCAAAACCAAAGAATTAACCTTTTTTTATTTTTCGTAGTGCTGGAGCCATCTCCAGCACTAGTCTAGTGCACAGACCCAGAGTCTAGTGCTTACTAGGCAAGCAGCTCTACCACTGAACTACATCCTCAGCCAGAATTCATTTTTATTCCATTTCAGAAAAGATTTTGGCATTTTCTCTAAAATGCTAATACCTTATTATTAGTTTACAGATAAATAGTAATGGAGACAGATAAATACAAAAGATAAAGCATCTTATAGTTGATAATTCTTCCAACTTACATGTTTAAGAAATTAGTGGTTAAACTGGAAAAGCTTAGCTCTCTAATTTTTCTTGCTTTCACATGTAAAGTAGTGTGTAATGATATAAATTATTCATAGTTTTGTTCTTTGAGTATATGAAGATATTTAAATTTTTTTAGTATTAAAGATTTTGGGACACTGAGCTGAGCATAGGAGTGCGTTGCTGGAAGCCCAGCACTTAGGAGGCTGATGCAGCAGGATTGCAAGCTTGAGGCCATCCTGGACTACATAAAAAGACCCTGTCTAACAAAGAAACAAAAAATTTTGGAGTAGTGACTTTTAAATAAAAAGTTTGATACTTAAGTTAAAATTGATGGTTAGCTCATTGAAGATAGTTTTTAAAGGGTTAGTAAGATCAGTTCTTAACCACATTTCCCTTCACCTCCTCTTAATAATTACAAAATCCCTTTTAACTGTGTGTCTGTGTTACCTCATTGTCTAAAACTATGAACAATGTAAATGTTAAACTGTTGAAATCTTTGACCTTATTTTTTCCTCCTTAAAATTACAGATGGTGAAATTGTATATTTTTTTTATTTTCTGTGAAGTTTATTCAGTAATTCAGGTACCTCTTCAACATAAACATGGTGTTCATGAAAATGTGTTTAAAATGATACATTAGAGTCTTAATATTTATTTTCAGGGAGTATTTTGCCTGTTTTGTGCAGTAGTTTATGGTTGAATTTCTGCTTCAGACACTTAGAATTTTCCAGTTAGAAATCTCTGGAGAAATACAGTTTTGTGGGGGGAGGGATTCAGACGAGACCAGTCCTGAACCATTTGCCCTGTAAGACTTAGTTTAAGATATAAGCCTGAATTACTTTTTGAAATCTGAAATCTATGTGTGTGTTCATCTACCCTTTAATCTTATTCTGAGTACCAATCCATGATGACCATTAGTTTTAAAAAAAAAATTATAGGTACTAATGTCTTATGAAGCCTGTTGATTCAGAGCTGAGGCATCTTTGAATTTATATTTGTGGTTCTTGCCCCAGAATGTGTACATTTGGGAATGAGCCAGATAGGTAAATAATGTTTAAGAAAATAGGGCAAGAGAACTGGGTTGTATTATAAGTAGATTTTAAGAATTTACCTGCAAGATTTGGATCAGAACCTGAATCATAAAGTGCTCACTATCTAATATTGCTTTTTATAATACTACTGTATACATTCTTAGTTGTTTGGGTATATTCATTGGTTATATTTAGTACTAGGAAAATGTGAAATCAAATCACACTAAATATACTTGATTTGTTCTAAACTTTTATAGAAACGCCACCACCTGGTTATATCAGTGAAGATGGAGAAACAAGTGATCAACAGTTGAACCAAAGTATGGACACAGGTAAAATATGCCTCAATATTTGGACACAGATCCAAAATTCCTCAGTAATTAGACATACATTCACTCCTCTGTATCTACAAGGTCCATGTCCCTGGGTTCAACCAACCACAGATCAAAGCTATTTTTAAAACATTGTATCTGTACTGAACAGGTACATATCTTTTTTGGTAATTATTTATGAACTAGTACAACAATTATATAGCATTTACTTTGCCTTTTTATATAAGAGACTTGAACATCTGCAGGTTTTTAGTTTCCATGGGGGATCCTGGAACCAATCTCTCTAGGCCACTGTACATTTCTTACATTGTGTGAAACTCTCAAGAGATATGCCTCCTAAATTTAGAGAAGTTGAGAAAGATTATAACCCACAATGAAATAGTACTTCACACCCAGTGGATGTCTGTATTTCAAAAAAGACAGTAGTAAGTGTCGGTAAGAATGCGGAAAAACTGGAGTCCTTGTATATTGCTGGTAGTGATGCAAAGTGGTTCAGCCGTTTTTGGAAAAGTTTTCTGTTCCTCAAAAAGTTAAGCATAGAATTAAAATACAGCCCTGTAATTTCCCTTCTAGATCTACCCAAAGACTTTAAACAGGTCCACACAAAAAATTATACACGAATATTCATGTAAGCATTACTCATAACATTACAAATAGAAACAACCCAGATGTCTATCGAGTGATGAATGGATAAAGAAAATTAAGTATTGTACCATATAAAGAAATGATAATACAGAATGAGTGCTACAACATGGTATAATCACTGCTGTGCTAGATGAGTCAAATTACAAAGGGAGAATATGCTCAGTCAACTCAAGTGAATGCAGTGGTGCAGCTAGCTTCGAACCAAGCCTAATAGTTCTAATTCTGTTTCATTGGGGTGCTGTCACTGACACTCAGAATAACACATTTAAAAAATGACTTCCACGAATGGCAATGTGAATATCATTCACGACATGCTAAAAGTTGGCTTGACTACTAGTCCCTTACCCACCATCAATTCTTCCTGGTGCCATGGTGAAAAAGCTAGTTCCTGCAGTGTGTGGTGGCACACTTATTGTCTCAGCTACTCAGGAGACTGAGGCAAGAGGATGGCTTGAGTCCATAAATTCAAGGCCAGGCTGGGAAACGTAGCAGAACACCTGTCTTAAAAACAGACAAGGAGATTGCTGATGCAGGTTCCCTCCCAGTTTAGAACAAATTTTGCTCCCTGTGTAACTCCAGTTCGTATCTTTTATGGGAAATTACATAATATAGATTAGTTGTCGCACCCTCTGGGGTAGAATGAATTGCTATTTTTTAAAGGGCAGCCAGAGGACTAATTAAGCAGAATGAGGAAGTAGCTATATGAAACAGCACCTGTTAACTTTTTGCTTTTCTTTTTCCCTCCTTTAAAAAAAAATTACTCCAGTGAAGCTTTCATTTGTCTATTAGAGTCTTGTGGACGTTATAGATCAGAATACATAGATATCACAAGGATTTTTTTTAAGTCATGCCGGAGTTTTATAAACTTACTTGTTTAAACAGATTTATGGAGAAATGGAACATAAGATGTAAATTCCATAACTGGCAATTCAGTTTTGTATCTTCTAAATGTACTTGCTTGGCCTAAGATTTACAAACATGTGGACTTAAAAGGTTTTTGAATCTGCATATGGGGTTGAATTGGGTCTCCTAAAAGATATATTGAAGTTTTAACCTCTAGTCCCTCAAACCGTGGTCTTACTTGGAAACAGTCTTTGCAGGTGTGCTTAAGATAAAGTTACGTAGCAGCAGGATGGCCTCTCATCCCATAGGATTTGTATCCTTTTAAGAAGCAAACAGAGAAGAATGCCATAGAAGATGGAGGGACTTATTAGAGTTAACAGCTAGAAGCCAAGCATGCTAAGAATTGCTGAAGAGACTAGAAGCCTGAGAAAAACTCACTGGGGGTAGGTGTGATGGTCACATCTGTATCCCAGCTACTCAGGAGGCAGGTAGCGGGAGGTTCAAGACCAGCCTGGGCAAAACATTAGTGAGAGTCCATTTGAACAAATAAGCAGGGTGTGGTGTGCACGCCTGTCATACCAACTGTGTGGGAGGCATGGGTTGAAGGACGGTTGGTCTGAGGTTGGCTTGGGGCAAAAATGTGAGACCTTATCTGAAAAGTTAACTAAAGCAAAAAGGGCTAAGGATGGGGCTCAAGTAGTAGGATGCCTGCCTCCCAAGCACAGGGCCCTGAGTTCAAACCCTAGTGCAGGAAAACAAACAACAATAGTCCATAGAACAGATTCTCCTAAGGCTTTGAGAGGCCTTGGCCTTGTTGACAACTCAATTTTGGGTTTCTCCAAAACTGAAAATGTAAATTATTTTAAGCCACACAGTTTGTGGTACCTTGTCATATAGCACAGCCCAGTAAGAAATATAGTGAGTTGTAAGCTTTTGATAATGTACAAAAAAGCCTGCCTTACTCCTGGATTGATTACACATGGTCTTGACCAAGCATGGTCATAAATTGATGATCAGAAACAAAAAGTTTAGATTAGTGCACATGATTTATATAGCTCAGTCGATGCAGAGATGCTCTCTGTCAGTCCTGTGTTACTGTCAGGTGTTTTTAAATTGTTGCATGATTTTTTTTTTTTTTAGTGTCATTTTAGATACTGAACTTTATGCATCCTTAGCATTTTCGTCTTTTCCTCATTGGCATTCTCTTTGGAACTGTATACCTGCAGATACCCAGGGTCTACTATACTACATACCTATACTTAGTTACTTCTAAGTTATTCATGGGTGCCTAATATTGTACCTTTTAAGGCATATACAAAAGTTTGAAGTTAAACAAATAGAAAGTAACTTACAATTTTTTCTAGTAAACTAATTGTTTTGTATACTTCTAGATAGGATTTACCTTCTGCATTTAGAAGACCACTTCTCTATCAAAAATATATAATCAGGACAAGCGTGGTCAGACTGTGAGCTAGATTACCTGAGTTTGAATTATTCTACCAGATACTCACTAGGTGACCTATGCACAGTGGTTCTTTATCTGTAAAATTAGGAATAATAATGGTACCTAATGTACAGGGTGTTAACAGAGTTAATATTTGTAAAGCAATTAAGTGTTTCCACCTCACAATAAGCACTTGTGAGTGCATTTAAAGGAGAAGAACCACTGAGAAAAAGGAAGGGAGTTGATCATACACAGATGGACAGGAAACTGAGGAACTCAAGTGCAGAGATAGAAGGATTAGGACCTTCTCTAAATTAGGAAGGTAATTTGTCAGGAATGAAGGGAGTCAAGTTTGAGATCCTTTACTCTTTGTGGCCTTAATGAGCTGAGCCATTTCTCTGCCATGTTTTATAGATTTTAGTGGAAATAAATATCTTTCATTAGATACATTGTACTTAGTGCTATTGTAATGTATGGTTTTTAAGTTTGAAATTTTCCCAATTGTTTGTTCCTAAGATACAGAAAACTATTTGTTTTTTTTAATGTTGGTTTCCCCGCCCCCCGAATCCTTGCAGTTTGGTTATAGTATTTCGTACATTCTTGAGATTTTCTATATGCACAGCAATGTCATCTGTTGAGTAAGGGCACTTCTTGTTTATTTTTTTTTTTTCCCAATCTGACTTTTTCCATTCTGGTTAAGACCTAGTAACATGTTAAATAAAAAGAATGAACATTTTTGCATTGTTCACGATTGCAGCAGAACTACATTCCATAACTCCTTATTGAGTATGATGTTAATTATGGATAGTTGATAGATGTTCTCTTTCTTATGTTCTGAGTGGTTTTTTTTTTAAAGTGGCAGTTGAATTTTTTCAGTGCTTTTTCTGTAATCATTAAGAAGATAATATGTTTTATCCTTTTCTTTTTTGTGGTGCTGAGGAATGAACTCAAGGTCTCATACATGCTAGGCAAGTGCTATACCACTGAGCTATACTGCCACGCGGACTCCTTTATTCTATGAGGTGAATTCCATTAAGTGATTTTGTAATGACAAATCAACCATAACCATATTTGGTTATGATGAATTAACCCTTTAAAATGTTTATGGATTTGATTTGCTAATTTTTAAAGGATTTTTATGTGTGTTCATGAGACTGATCTGTATTTTTCTCGTATTTTATTAGTTTTAATATCATAAAATGTCAAAAAGGATTTTCTTTTAAAATTTTTTTTGTCAGCATAAACTACTTATACAAAGGAGCTTCATTGTGATATCTACATACATTCTTATAATGTACTTGGAGCAGATTTACCCCATCTATATTACTCTCTTAATCCTTCTCCCTCTTCCCCATCCTTTTTAACAGTTTCACTGTTGCATTATTCTATTTTCATATATATATATATACATATATGTATGTATGTATATGTTATATACATATATATGTATATAACATAATTTTAATCATATTCACCCCCTCATCATTTCCTTTTCCCCCTCCCACACCCAATGGCTCCTCCCCCTCCAAAATAATCCCCCTTTTACAATCATGCCATAGTTTTTTTTTTTTAGGTCTAGATTTCACATGAGTGAAAACCTGTGATATTTGTCTTTCTGAGCTTGACTTATCTCAGTTAGCAAGATGATTTCCAGTTCCATCCAATCCTGCAAATAACATAATTTTATTCTTTATTGTTGAATACTCCATTGCATGTATATGTACCATATTTATTTATGTATGTATGTATGTATGTATGTATTATTTGATGCTGGGGTTTAAATTTGAGGCCTCACTCTTGCTGGGTAGGCTTTCTACCACTTGAGCCACTCTGTCAGCCCTACCATATTTTCTTTATCCAGTCATTGGTTGTTGGACACCTAGGCTTATTACATGGCTTAGCTGTTGTAAATAGTGCTGGTATACACATGGGTGTGCAGGTTTCTTTATTGTGTGTTGACTTACATTCCTTTGGATATGTGCTCAAGTAATTGCCTACACCTATATCTTTAAGTGTTTTCCCTGCTCTCCAGGAATGGTTTCAAAGTTTAGGTCTTACATTAAGATCT